CACTTGGTTCTTTTCCACAATTCCATTGGCAGAGATTATGATTTTAATTATGGATACTTTTGCAAGTTGGTATATGCCTTTTAGCTCGTGTGCTAGATCTTGTGTAATTTTTAATTTTAATTTTATAATTTTATTATTATTATTATAGTAGCTAAAAGCTAAGTCTAGCTCAAAAGCTAGTCAACATTAACATAATTGAAAAAAAATTAGTTGATAATAATAATATGTTTCTTATTGTTCTTTTTTTTTAATCTCAAATGTTTACCGAAGTAAATAAAAAGTGTAATATTGGAATGAAAAATGGTCCCTATTACAAAGAGGATAAAATTTTTTATGTTTGTTACTTTTTGTTGCTTTGTTAACCTAATTTAATTCGCAATGCAGATAAGATTTAGGTGAGGTAAGATATATAGTTTATTAATATTTGTTGGCACTTTTATTTTAACAAATATTTGCTTTTTTCAGTTTTTACTTGTCAATTGTTATTATTAATGACAATTAATTAATTAGTTGTCTTAGTAATTAATACAATGAAATTATTTTAGAGGCTCTGAATGTAGCAGTTTTTACTTCGGGCTGATATTTTTAATTGAACTAAGACTCGTCATACCATTTTTTCGTTAAGTTAAGTTAAGGAGATATTCAGAGTGCTTTTAAAATTAAACAAGTATTCTGAACAATTATAAGTCTATGTGCGTGAAAAGATCAAATTGTATTTATTTGGCGTTTTTTAATTGCTTTTCAAAAATGTTAAGAGATTGTGTTAGCTAACTCGTTTTAAAAAACCTTGCTGTAGTCATAAAAACAGTTATTGAATATTAGAGTGTCATTGCTGTTAAATCTGCGATGTTCAGATATGTATGAGTTTTGTTTATGGTCTACGAATAATTATTGAAAGGGTAATTGAAATTATACTAAAAATAAATAAAAATTTCCAGATTTTAACCTGCAGACATAATTTTTGGTTTGATTGGTTAGCTATAAAACATTATACCTGAAATATGTCTAGTAGAGAAATTGAAAAAAGTTTTTTAAAACGGGAAATCAGAACATGGCGCCTCTACCGCTAATCTTAAACAACTAAGTTATGAATTGAACTGAGGAGCCTTTTACTTGGTGAAAATCCATTTATCAAAATAAATAAGAACTGAAAGTTCAGATTTTCACGAAATTATATATTATGACATGACAATTGTTTCGACAACACCGTGTCTTTATCAAATGTCTACAACAACTAAGTTTTTTCTGTATTGCGATTTGTGTCTTCGTTTTTGTCACATAAGTGGATGAATCATATCCTGATATCGGCACTAAAATTGGTCTTTATAACGAGAATGACTCAAAGCACGCAGGCATAAATAATTACTCAAAAAACGCCTAATTGGCCTTATTATAATGTTTGTAAGTGCATCTATTACACGGTATATCATATAAATAGCTTTTATATAATTTGATCTTCAATAACCAGCGGATGTACTATTGAGCATAAATCGGAGTTCGAATCCTAATTAAGGTGTAGCAAAATGAGAACTTTGCGTAAATAATTTAGCAATTATTGCTAATAAGTAAATAATTCAAACCGCACAAATAAGCGTTCCTTCAAATTCCATGCGTATCTGATTACCAGTTAAAATTATGAAAACAAATCAACCGCATCTGGTGGAGGAGCTTTTCTCTTACACTAAAACGCAGTTTACCTAAACTCAGTTTCAGGTTGTTGGTTACCAACATTGGCAACAGTCAAATTCCCACTTCAGGAGTATGTTAATGAAATCCGTGTAATTATAAAGTATTTGTAAGCTTTTGTTGTTGTTCTCAGCACTTTCCGTTATGTAGGACATTGTTTAATAATGCTTTTGGGTCTAAAGTATGACGTCTGATTGTACTGTAAGAAGTTTTGATAAATAGATTATAGGAAACCACAAGAGTGGTGGGATTTGGAATTTATATCGTATTCGGTACTTGGTGTTTTCAAGGCTAATAGCTCAAGTTATAATAGCTGTAATTTCTGATTCTAATTAAGTTATGGTTTGAAAAAGAGCAGGTTTCCATTTGAAAAAACTATTATCTTTTTATTAAGAAAACTTAAGTTAGGAGGATAAACAATTCTTAGTTTGGAATAACCTCAAAATTGTGTTACTTAATTCTAGTTGCCATAACAGATCGATGTTCGATGGATGAGACAGCATGTGATGCAGCAATTTTTTTAAAGTGCATATAGAGAGACAATCACAAACATTTTTTTTTTCGTTTATTCCATTTTCTCATTATTTCATAACTAAATTAGTTTTTTGAATTTGAAAATTTTAAAAATAAACTAAAAAATATTTTTCAATCTTATAGTGATGTGAAATTTAATGTTCCAAGTTTGGTATTGTTATCTGGCAGTTAAACAACAAACTGTGGAAAATCCGACCTTAACTTATGACACGACGGGTTCTATAAATTTCGGCGGAAATTATCAGGCTCAAGCCCAATCATTTGCAATATTTCAATCCGCTCACGACTCGGTTTTAAACCAGATAACCGGCGATAAGCTTAAACAATTTGCACCTTATTAATGGATAAACGATTTACCTTGTGGAGGTCCGGTTCGAGACAAATTTCGGCCATAGTGGGTGGAAAATTTGTGTTCTTTGAACCGGGAATTTTGCACGAGATTTATTGTCGTATTTGCCCTGGGACGGTCTGACGCAGGGCGTGTAATTTGCTGCATGTGCTCAACTTCGGGTTAACGAACTTCGTATATACTAACGGAGTTTAACGGTCGTGTTTTGGTTTTTCAAAAATCGATAAAAGTTTACACACTTTTTCAGATATCTGCTGGAAAACCAGTCTATCTCGTCTACAATACTAAATCGGGGCAAATAACATCATAACTATGGAGCAATGCTGACGAAATCTATCAGATATTCATCTAGTGATCTAGCTTTTTGAAGTTACCACTAAAGCTAGGGTGTTCTAACTTATTGTGAATCTCCATAAATAATAAATAATTATTATTGCATAAAAAAATAAAACTGTATCAACAAAATATTGCTCGCGAAGGTGGAGGGTACCGCCGAGTTCATTTTAATTAACCGTCGCTGAATAACGCCATTTTCTAAACTCTCAATCACAACCACAGAGTAACATATCACGTAAACAGGTAGAAAAAGGGTTCCTAAATTCCACACATCGCTATAGAGTCAATAATCTATAGAACACAAAACTCTTTAGACCATTTTTAAATATACGCATGCTCCAATGTTTGTAGAAACGAGATACTGAGGTATAAAATAACTTGTTCAAATTCCTTCCATACTATACATGTTGTCTCAAAAGGCTTAAAAGTATCAAAGCTGTTTTTTTTTCTGTTTAACCCTTGCACCTATTATGGGATTTTTGAATTCTACGACCAAAATAAGTGTATAATTAAATAAAATTTTTGATGCCTAAAATTTAAGGTTTTTTTAATAATTTGAAATATGTCAACACGCTACCTTATTTTAATACATAGGTATACACTGGTTTAGAGTGCGGGAAACGTCACTTTATCACCTAAGTTTCTTGTCCCATGGATCCAAGCCACTTCGGATATTTCCGGGATATTTCCGCACGAGTTTGGGAACAATCGGATGTTTTCAGAGATTTTACTGCACGTCTTGAATTTTGACGTGTGTCAATTTTGACGGTCATGTTAGTGAATGTATTCATGTTGTTGTCGCTCCGCTCGTGCCAAATAAACTCGTCACTTAAATGCCGTTTACCACACTTGTTTCGTTATATAATATTAATGTATGTAAGTAATTTATATTTCAATTATAAAATGTTTTTCGTCTTATACGGGAAGTCAATTGGATGGTCGGTAAATTTAGATATTTGATGACTGCATTGATCACTTTCTCTAATATTTTATCACCATATAGGTGCAAATTCTATTTTTAATTCATTTTCGGAATGTCGACCATCGATTTCATAGTATATTATGCAACAAGTGCGGTAAACGGCATTTAACTCACGAGTTTATTTGACACGAGCGGAGCGCAGCGGAGCGAATTTTCAATAAAAGAGTGAGTTAAAAAGTTTACCGAGCGCGTTGCATACTATACTTTTTCTACGACCGTTAGTTTTTGGGTACATACGTCAAAATTAAAAGCGTGGGGAATATCTGCGAAAACATCCGATTGCTTCCAAATCCGTGCGATAAAATCCCGGAAATGTCCGAAGTGGCTTGGATTCATGGGAAACGAAACTGACGTGGTAAAGTGACGCTTCCCGCACTCTAGATCGGTGGGTAATTAGGTATTTTACATACGAGAGTAGAAGTTCTAATGTCTACACAATACTTGAAGTTGCCACAAAAGAAAGTCCAAAAATAATATAGCAGTTAGTGGCCTTCCCTGATAAGTTCAAAAACATAGTGCTTAGTTTAAAATAATCAAGTTATAGCCACTTAAAATTATTATTTGAATAGGATACATTTTTGTCCTCTCTGTATACAAAAGGGAAGTTTTTTGTAATTATAATATAAAATCTGATCTATTTTTATACTCTACTGTAGATTTCGCTGACACAATTTAAATTATTTTTATGTGTTTAAGATATTAAAATTAGATTACATTTTGATAAATTCGAATTATTTAAAAAACTTTATGAGTTAAGTATCAAAAATCCAATGCAAACAGTTATTGTGGCTGTCCAAAAATGCTGCAATAGAAAGAAACTTGCATTTAAAAAACTCCACTTTGATATTTTAAGACGTTTGGGACAACCTGAACATTATGAAAGTAATTTTAAAAAATAACTAGTAAAAAATTTCCAACATTTATGTATAGATTTTATTCATATAATCAGTGAAAAGCAGTTAAAATGGTGTACTCGCATCAATGTCCGGATATCAAAGACTACTGTTTCAGAGCTTTTTGTTTAACTCATCTTGCAACTCGACCGTGAAATTTTGAAAAAAAGATATTTTCTTTTACCAGATGCCATATACAAATATATTTTTCCTTTTTCAGGTCAAAAGTGATGTGGAGCTGCTGGTCGATAAGTATTTCGGAAAAATATACGAGAACTACGATTCGTCAAAAAAGTGCTTAGTTCGACAAGCTCGAGACATTCTAGTGTGTGAATACCACGGTTGCCTTAACAAGTTCGAACACGAATTCTGCGTACAGGCTGCCAAGTTACTGCAGTATATTAAGGTAAGGTGTTACTACCACCTATGTGTGTGTAAATTTCGATTTTTAATCTTTCTACCTTATTCTCCTTTCTTTTTAAATAAACATTTCTGCACCGGGTCAAGGAGACTTGTGTGTCATTTCAATTAGTTTTTTTTTTAATTATAGCGATCTAATGTGAATTACATGACAATACATCAGCAAAAAATAATAATTTTTCGGAAAACTCATTAAAATTATAGTTCAACAAAGAAATAAAATTAATAAGAAATATTAAGTCGGGCCTTGTTACCGCATTTGTTTTAGTATTTTTTTTTCAGTTTTTAATTAATTTAATTAATTAAAATATTATTCTATATGGAAATTTTTGCACTGCACGTTCGACCAATTGTTTATGAAAACCAGTGGCTGCCCTAGGGTGTCTCGCTCATGGATATGGAAACAAAAAAAGTTGTCTAAATTGCGAAGGTGTTCCCATATATACCAAATATTTTCACGTTGCGACGTACTTGGGATAATATTTTTTATGAATACCATATCTCCTAAGGAATTCATATACGTTGATTTATTATTAGCTGTGTTGATTGTGTGTTTGTAAATACTTCTCATTATACTACTTTTTTGGGTTTGGCAAGAAGTTCGAACAACTCTCCTATGCTCACACTTTTAATTAGCAAACTCTGCCTAGAGCCTTTGGGCTGATGACCTCTCGTGAGAACTTAGCTAACCAATTGTTTTAGGATTGCTTCCGTATCTTAAAATTTTACACGTGTTCGAACTTGACTTGACTTCTGGTTAGACCATATATACTAGACATATAGAGGCCCTGCCTATGCTGACAGTACAGAAACTCATGAAGCAATGATGTAATTTTTTTGAGAAGATTGCAGCTCTAATGACAAATTTTGACGCAGCACCCATAAAACCTTGCGGCTTTCAACGAACAACATGGCCGCTGACAGATCTTCGAAGTTTGAGTGCGGCATTTTTACGGCAGTATTTTCTCAAAATATGTCGAAATCCTATTAAGTTTTCAGGCAAAACACGAGTTAAGGTCTGGAAAAGCAGTGCAGAATTGCAACACCCACGTCGGCGTCAGTATAATTCTGTAATTAGTTTGGCGCTTTTATTCCTCAATCCCTGTAGATACGATGCAATTTCGCACAAAACGTTAGTTTTCATAAAATCATAGGTTTAACCTCCATTGAAATAACTTTGAGATGCTAGCAAACGAAATATCTAACTGAAAAAATGTTCGAGAAGTATCCTCCTATAGACAGTAATTGATAAGGGGTATTTCTTATGCTTGTTCTAGTAAAAATTCAACTTGGAGCTTAATTTCTTTCTTATATTTCCTGTAATTAATTCTTGTACACTAAAGCGTATTACCCAAAAATGTAGGGAATTCTGTTTAGTAAATTCACATGTGAGTCTATTTTCCACTTTGTTAAATATCAAATATATATAGATCACTGTTTCTTTAATATTTTATTAAGTCCTCATATTTGCCATACTTGCTGTACTTTTGTGATAGAACAAAGTATTGAAAGCACAAATTAGACAAGTTTGTGAGTACGGTACGGAGATATTGACACCAAAATTAGCTCGGCGTTGCCAGTTACGTTCGGATTTCAGAGATTGATGTTGTGTTCTTATAACAATTGATCAAAAATTGCGGCAATGTAGCAACGTAGCAATGTAGCAACTGCACATGACGCATGCGCAGAAGATCCATACCTTCTCTACAAAAGTATCATAGCTATATCAATTTTTACCGTAGTAGGGCCACTATATTATCTTATAGCTATATAGTCATCTTGCCACTTTGACGCCCTGATACCCTGTTTGTCCTCTTCCAGTTTTCAATTATACCTGTAAGGTTGACACCTGTATGTGCAATTGTGAAAGTGTCCTAGATTCCGGTAAATGAATTATTATAATTATTTAAATTACTAGTCAGTCGATGGTGGAGTATTATAACAAAAAGCAACATTCTAGGTTTGGTCCGACGAATAATAATATCTTTTAAAAAATCGCGTGGGAAGAATAACGGCATCTAGGCGATAGCTTCCGCATACCTGGCCCGTGCATACGTATACAAAATTATGTCTCTCGTTGTTAAATGGATCTCCAACAGTAATTTATTAAAATTCGCGCCCAGCAGCAGTTCATTTCATTAGATAAATATCTTTGTTTACGCGGTGTTCATATTTGTATCAGTTCAATAGAAAATTTGACAAATGTGCCTAGTTCACGGCTTGATCAACAGCGCGGTTGTTACTAACGCAGCGGGAACATTTTCATTTACCATGGGCGCGGATTAAACTTGAAACATTAGGATTATGTTTTGTACATACTAAAATCTTGGACGCCAATGGTGCAGTATTAATGAAATGGTTTTGGTTTGTCTCGACTGACTAACCAGAAAGTCAATTTAAAATAAACAATGTACCCTATCATAGTGTGATTTATGTCACCACCACATACGTTGCAGAACCCGATTGACCAGAGTATTGAAAGAGCGTTAATAAAATATTAGTGAGTGGCACTAACTTTGTACATCAGTCTACTCATCATGTTAGTAGTTAGCTATTGTGTTTCCATTTAAAAAAAAATTTTATGGTAGTTTTTTATAATTGATTGTTCATCTTATTTTTTACTTACCCTTATGAAATCCGTCATTCGAGTCCTTTGTGTACAAGAAAACTTACTCAAGTTAAACAATAAATGTTTGTCAATGAAGAAATTGGCAGATATTGTACGTCTTGCAAACGTCATTTTTCGCATAAAAAATTAAAAATGTCAAAAACGGTTAGAATTGGGTATAGGACATTATACACACAATATGTTTAAAATTTTGTGTAGAATTTAAACATGGAGTAATATACAAGATGTTCCATTTAAAATAAGAAAGTTGATACTCGCTCCCGAAAAATGAAACAGCCTGTATATACAACATTAAAATAAATTGAAGGTTTGTAATACCCCCATTAACTTTTGTATTTAACTTTTGACTCCATCCCCTATAGTTTCTGAGATAAGAGAAACGACCCACCCTATGCAATATTCATTGTTAATCAAATTATCCAACATCAGGAAAAAAAGGTATTTATCCCGAAATGAGTTTTCTTATAATCACATTTTCAATCCTCTGTGTATCTCTAGCAGAACAAATTAACTATTACATATCGTTTATCACATATTTTTAGATCCTAATATTCGTTACCCAACCTAACAACATCTTTGAAGGTGCTTCACAACCTGAGAAAACGGTTTTCTCTCACTACTACCAGCCCGATCAGAATAGCCATGCTAGTAGCCAACATTCGAAACGAATAGGCACATCTTCTTCTACCTTTTCTACCGCCTTCGTTGATTAGTTTTAGAAATTGTTATTGCATCGCATGATGTGACTGAGATAAAGAATTATCCTTTTGCTTATAATGTTGTGTTGTTTGATTGAGAATTCTTAGGTATATCCACATCATAACCATGTAATAACGTTGTAATATTCGATAAAAAGTTATCGTTTGTCCATCACATCGCGTCAATAGTGGCAAGCTCATCTAAAATTTTAGGTGTTTTGGTCAGATGCGGTAGGGATTTTGCTTCACATAACTCACATAAACCGCTTTTATTCGCTCGAAGTTAGAATATACCTCTGCCGTCTGGTCGCCTGGTTATAGCGTTCGTTCGCAGAACCTAGATTCCATTCGAAGGCGATTTCTAAAATATATGTATTATAAAACTCATGGATCTTATCCTGAACAGGGTGTTCCTCAGACTGAGTTGTTGAATTTGTTTTCGATGGACTCTCTGCAAACCAGGAGCGAGTATTTGTCACAAGTTTTGTTATACAAGCTGATTCATCTTCTTCTTAAGGTACCAACTATCTTGGCAAATTCGTTTCGATCTTGCGCACTCCTCAGCAATGTATAGGAGTCTAGCCCTGTCCAATCCCTCACGTTCTTTAACCATGAGCCTTGTGTACGCCCCGGCCCTCGTCTACCCTCAATTTTGCCTTCTATTATAAGTTTTAGAAATGCATACTTATTGCCTCTCATGATGTGTCCGAGGTAGGCCGTTTTCCTTTTTTTAATGATGTTTATGAGGTCCCGTTCTTTGTTCATTCTTAGTAATACCTCTTCGTTATTTACATGGTCCGTCCAGGGTATTCTCAGCATACGTTGATAAACCCACATTTCTAACACCTCTAATTTGTTTAGCGTACTAGTATTTAGCGTCCACGAGTCGACCCCATACAATAGCACAAAAAACACATAGCATTTAACGAAATTATACCGGATTTGGGTGTTAAGGCTTTTGTCACTTAGCAAGTTTCGCATTTTCAAAAATGTTGCTCTGGCCATTTCTATTCTTGTTCTTATTTCCACATCAGGATTTAGATCTTCTCCAATCCAGCAACCCAAATATCTAAATTTCTGCACTTTTGAAATAACTGTCCCGCGTATTCTTATGTCAGCTGATTCATAATTCGGTAAATTGTCCTTACTTAGTTGAGCAGCTGAATTTCATGGTTCCGCAGTTAGCATCGCGATACTCTGCTACCTTTTACCTTCCTACCGTGAGAACTAATGTCATATATATGTGAAACGTTTCCAACCGTACCAGTGATTTAGACATTTTTAATTGCCTGTTGTGCCTAGTCTTATTGCAATTTCGTTGCCTTCGCAGTTGAGTAATTTCTTTCATTAGTATTTTTCTTATGTTCATTTTGTTCCGGATCATCTTTTTTGCAATAATAGTATATTTGCGTGGTGGTGTATATAGTTTGTAAATAATTTTGTAATTCTGATTAAATGTAGTGGGTGTTCTCCTGCTCTATAATTGTGTTTAATCCTGTTGAACAGTGCATGTAAATAAATAAATAAATAAATAACGTCTGTTCACCGGATGACTTCTGAGAAGCATATAATTTTAGCGGATGATTGTTTAAAGACAGAACACGAACTATTACGTTTGTTTATTAAAGAGTATTTTTCTAGTAGAACTCACCTTGTTGC